TATAAAAAGAGCATTTCTTCAGATAGGTGTGAATCCAGCGGATCGAGATTTTCTTCCGGTTCCTATGGTGGGAGAAAGGACAGCCTGAAAAACTGACTATATATCGGCACCGAAGGGTTGTATTCGGCGTAAACGCCAGCCCCTTTTTACTCGCTGCCACGATTAACTACCATTTGGAAAATGTACCAAAACATCATCAGGAAATAGCTTCAAAGCTAAAGAAAGCCATGTATGTGGATAACTGCGTAGCGAGCGTGGAATCAATTGAAGAATTAAACTCATTTATCAAAGGATCTAGAGAAATAATGGCTACTGCAAAATTTGACCTAAGAGGTTGGAAACATAATAGACTTAAAAATGAAACTTCAATTCTAAACCTTTCTGATAAAGATTATGAAGATGTTGTGTCAGTATTGGGATTGAAATGGGACTTGTTTGACGATACTTTGTCTTGTCACGTAAAATATGAAGAAAACCCTGTATTGAGCAAAAGATCTGTTCTTTCCGAATTGAGTAAAATCTTTGACCCAATTGGGTTTACTAGTCCAGTTACTCTCATGCCTAAACTGATTCTGCAAGAGTGCTGGAAACAGAAAATTAACTGGGATACTAATCTGCCGAATGATCTAGCAAGGAAATTTTTCACATGGTCATCTCAGTTAAAATATTTGAAAGACATCAAAATTCCTAGATTGCTTCCCAAAATAGACGAAAGTACCACTCTGCATGTATTTTCGCAGACGCAAGCAAGGACGCGTATGCGACCTGCATTTTCCTTAGACACAGCGGTGAGAGTGGAGTCACTTGTCAATTGATACAATCTAAAGCAAGAGTTGCTCCGCTAAAAGCACTCACCATACCTCGACTAGAGATACTCGCTTGCACTATTGGAGCCAGGCTCTCTCATACAATAAGAGAAGACTTGAAATTAAAAGAGGTTCCAGTTTTTTACTGGACGGATTCCACAAATGCTCTCTTTTGGATAAAACAGAAAGAAAATTGGTCCACTTTTGTAGCCAATCGAGTAAATGAGATTCGAAAATTGAGTAACTCAGATCACTGGCATCACATTCCCGGAAAGTTTAATCCTTCGGATTTGCCATCTCGCGGTTGCTCTGCAAAAGAATTGAGGAAATCCGAATGGTGGAAAGGACCAGATTGGATTTATCGACCTCCAGAAGAGTGGCCTATTGCAGATGGAGAACATCCTGACTTCGATATAGTAAATGGAGAGAGAAAACGAACTGTGGTTTCAGCCAGCAATAACACGAATACAGATAAATTTAAACTTTTTGACAATATTTCAAAATTCGAAAAGATCATAAAGGTCGTATCTTGGATCTTTAGATTCATTAAAAATGCTACAACACCACCATCTGAAAGAACTCATGGCAGAATTTCAGTCGAAGAACTAAAAGGAGCTGAAACAGTGGTTTTCCGACTGATCCAACGAGAATCTTTCGAAGGATTGAAAGATAAAAGAATACGTGCTCTAGAACCTATCATGGACTCCAATGGCTTTATAAAAGTGAAGACACGTATCTTTCAGAGAGCCGATGATGCTGACTTTCGTTACCCAGTTTTACTTCCATCAGAACATCCATTAGTATTAAAACTGATCAAATCTGAACATGAAAGGGTAAGTCACGCTGGAGTACAATTCGTTATGTGCGCTTTGCGTGAAAAATATTGGATCACAAAGAGTAGGAAGACCGTACGCAAGGTTATCCAAAACTGTGTACGATGTCGAAGGTTCGACTCTGATTCATATAAGATTCCTCAAGCGCCACTACCTGAAGACAGAGTGAGTGAGTGAGTGCACCGCTATGATGGCTTCCGACCACAAACATGAACCAAACGGAATTATATACCATCACGGCGGGGAAGACTCCAGAGTAACAAGGTTGAATATTATATACTAATAAAAGTTTTTACATAATGTTTACTGCAAAGCACTAAGCGTTATTCTGGTTATCTGCTTTAAGTTCTGAACTTTTGAAACATTATAATATTATCCACGGTTGTTTCTGCTTAGGCAGTGTCCTGAGATTTTCTCTATTTTATCAAGTGCTATTCTGTTTTTGAGTGTGTTAGTAGTCCACATTGCCCAGGCATAGTCCGCTGGTTTCTTCAAGTGCCAGGTTCTTGTATGTACACAATGGAAGTAATAATGGTCCGTGTCGCCTTCCTCTCCGCATTCGCAGAAAGTATCCCTAAGTCTGAATCTGTTCAGGTATACTGGGAATGGTCCATGACCTGTCAAGAATTGTGTTAGGCTAGCACAGTGGGTCTTTAATTCCATGTTAACTTTTGGCAGTAAGCGAAATGTCTTTCGTCCTACCTCTGCCTCTGTCCATCTACTTTGCCAATTTTGTAGCATACTTGTCAAAGTTGTTCGCTTAATACGAGACCAAGGAAGTTTAGTTGGTCTTTCTAATATATCCGTGCAGTTAGCTGCCTGCTTGGCCAGTAGGTCAGCGGCTTTATTGCCTTGAATCCCTGTGTGAGCGGGAACCCATTTTAAAGTGGATCTTTGTGAAATAGGCATTGTCAGAAGCTGTTTCTGAATTCTGTATACCAATGGACTCCGGCTGTTTTGACTTGCGATAGCCGCCAGACTTGATGCTGAATCACTGAGTATGGAGAATTTCTCCTGTTGACATGTGTTCCCATATCTAATTGCAGCACTGATAGCTAGAAGCTCTGCTTGGTATACCGAGTTGTTCGAGCCTAATTCCTTTTCCACTCGAATGTTACAACTCCATTTTCTAGTCTACAGAAGGCGCTGCCCGTGCCGTTCTCAGTTTTGGAGCCATGTGTGAAAAGGTTGAGATGCTTTAATTTTTGACATTATTGGTGTTGATCTGACGGGTCCCTTAATTTTAAAAGGAGGCCAAAAAACATGGATCGTCATTTTTACTTGCGCAATATATAGAGCAGTTCACTTAGAGCTAGTCTTATCTCTATCAACCGAAAGTTTCCTGCACGCATTTAGGCGATTCATCGCTCGAAGGGATAGACCTGTCACTGTATACTCCGACAATGGAACCAATTTTGTTGGATCAAATAATTTGTTTACGACCATAGATTGGAATTCTATCTTAGAAAACGCAACAGTTAAGAAAATTGAATGGAAATTTTTACCCCCTTCCTCGCCATGGTGGGGAGGGTGGTGGGAAAGATTAATTAGAGTACCAAAGAGAATTCTTCGAAAGATACTAAGAAAATCTTCTCTGAACTACGAAGAATTGTTGACAATCATTTGTGACTGCGAGAGCATTATGAACAACCATCCTCTCACGTATTTGTCAGAAGACGTAAAGGATTTAAGAGCTCTCACCCCAGCAATGTTTCTAACAGAAATTCCAGAGACTGGAGTTCCTGAATTAGATTTTTTGGATTCTAAATCCATCAATAAAAGATACCTTTACAGAGCCAAACTCAGAAAAGATTTACGAAAAAGATTTCGATCAGAATATTTAGGGCAACTAAAACAAAGCTCAAAATTCATCCGCGAAACATCTTCTGTGAAAGTTGGTGATCTTGTAATTGTGTCCAACAACGAAAAAAGGATAAACTGGCCCTTAGCTAGAATCCTGGAAACTTTTCCATCCCACGACGGACACATTAGATTGGTGAAACTGAAAACTGCACAAGGGGAAATTATAAGACCTACTAAGAACCTCATACCTCTTGAACTCAACTGTACACCTGAGTCGGATATGCAAGTGAGGTACAGAATTCGACGTATGACGAAATCTCAAAAGATTTGAACTACAGGTCAGTTGAGGTCTATCCTCTGCTGATACTGGACCTCAAGGTGGGAGTGTCGCGTTTGCTTACTAGAACTTTACTTCCACGAACGCCCTCTGGCGAAAGAGACTAAAAGTAGTCAGTTGAACGGCTGACGCGTCTAACAGATGTATAACGATAGACCGTCTCCGTATAAATTATGCTTGTAATCATTATAGCTTGTAAATATTTTGTAGATATCTTTCATATGAATTAAAATTTCTTAAAAAAAGTTTAAAGCTGTGTTTCGCAGTGAATCGAAGTTCATCATAGAGACGGATACCGACAAGAAGGAAAGAAGGCAGTTCAGGGCAGCCCTATTTAGAAGGTAAGTGATTTTTCACTTATCTATTTAATGATCTAAAAATTTTAATAGTACACAGATGATAAAATTTTTAACATCGTTGTTGCGAAGGCAATAATTTATGATGGAATATATTCAAAACAGCCTTAGCTATTAATACGTATCTATCAGGTTATAGTAAAATAACTTGATACACATTATTGCAAAATTGTCTCCACACGCTATCATAAAATTTCTCTGCTACTATGAATGCAGGAGATATTTAGATCCTAATGAAGAACGGAATTCCTGATAAAAAAATGGTGCGTTGGTCATGATTTAAAGGGTTTATTCTGGAGAATTTGCAGCTGGTTCCATATGTTCTTTCAGAGGATGTCAAATCTGAAGCAGCAATTTTATTAGCAACAGATAAAGCTGCCTTTTAGTTTTTAGATTAAGGCCCTATTTGCACTCCATGAAAGAACACTTGTCCATAATAACATTTAAGGGTGTATCTTTTATGTAGTGTGGATGTCTTTTATATGTCAGTTTCTGATCTAATATGTATAATTCCGAATTATTTTAAGCAGATGCAATAAGATACATATTTTCTTTGATGTGGATGTCAGTTACTTCCATATCTTGTGTTGTGATGATGATATGTCACCGACAAAATTAATGCATTATTCTAACAATTTTTCGGAAAAATTTATGCTTGTATTCAAAATAAACTTTTTTCACAATTTTATGTGTCATATGCTATATCTTTTCTAGAAGTTAATTTTGAATTTACTGTTAACTTTCCAACATTTTGTAACTTTTATAAATTAAAGCTGTTTTATAATTCAAATACAATTTTTTACAAATTTATAACAGTCTACAACGTTCAGCCACATTAGTTAGAGATTAGATATAGACTCTTGCTTTTCTCAAATGCTTTTGTTATCTTAAAATGTTTTACAAAAAAGCCATTAAATGAATGACAGACTGGCTATTGTATATACGAATTCAAAGAGAGTAATTTTAATGTTTTACATCAAATTCCAATTGACAGTTGCATCAGCACATAAATTTTTTGACACCAACAAACTATACTTTATAAATAACAATAAGCACATAAAACTCATCAGAACTAAACAAAACCTAAGGTGGACACGAAACACAGATTTTATATAATTGGATATACAATAGTTTCAAATCTGCAGCATACTGAAAGTAAAATATTTGTCACACTCGGTAAATGCAGCAGAAGTTTTATCAATATTTCTCTTCCATTTTCAGTATTCAAAATTTACAAGAGATGAACAAAACGTTTCCGGATTAGCTCTTTGCGTACTAGCAAATAGCAGTATGAAGTTCCGCTCGCAGCTATAAGGACTTTCATAAGGTAGTGTAATGAGACATCGCTGTGCTAAGATCGGTAGTTTTAACAATAGCGTTTTTCTGATCATATATGGCAGTCTGCGATTATATATGGCGCAGAAAGACAACGAGCTGAGGTGAAATTTTGCTTTAAACTGGGCAAATCGGCCACACAAACATTGAACATGGATCGGGCAAGCTTAGAATGATGACGCAACATTTCAAGTGGCAAAGGCGCTTCCAAGACGAAAAATACATCCTTGAAGACGGAGGAGTGATGTGGAAGACTACGTTAAATACCCCGAAAACGTTAAATGAATTCCAGAACTTGAGATTGCTAATCATCAGAGGAAAATCAACGAAATTGAAAAAATATGTTCATATGTTGTATGGATCAGCGCAATTATCAGGACTGAACATAAGGCATGTCGCTGACAAGTTTATCTTTTGACTGCTGAGCCCTAAGCAGAAAGAACAACGAGTTACAAAGTATCACGATCTCCGCGACTTTGCTGCGGATAATCCATCCTTGATGGTTAAGATCACCACCGGGAACGACATCTAGCGCGCAAATCGTGGAGAATCGCGCTCTCGCTCTGAATCTCATTTCCCCAGACCATGATATTGCATTGTAGTGACTGAGAATTATGCATCAGCCACGGAGGACTTTCATGTGACTGTTTGATTACACCGGAATGGATAACTCTTCCATTGCCATATTCCGACTTTGCTTAGCCCCTCATCACTTTTACATTGTTTATTTTCCCAATCTACAGCTTTTTAATTGCATTAGTGAAAGCATATGCATTTTGTGCATTATTTTGATATGGCACATCCGCATATTCTGTATATAGATTATTGAAATTTAGTATTGAAACTGTATTTGTAAAATTTATTAATGGTCATGTGACCGCAATGTAACACAGTAATAGTTAGATTGCAAAATTTGTGTTCGCCGGTTATTTTTAGCACTTTCTTCCGCCAGTGAGAATACAGAAACAAGCAAAATGCCTCGTTTGCTATACCATTCGCTCTAATCTACATGGATACAGCTGTGAAAGAACTTTCAAGCGTGAGGTCCTTTAAAAGATTCTGTGAACCTCTTCTAAGAGCAGGATATACTAACACTGCATACCAGAATTAAAACACTAAAGAATTAAAGCATCAAAGCAAAATGACTTCCAGCTCACAGTCCAACAGCAGCAAGAATATCGGAAGTGCTGCATTGCTGCGCAAGTCAACTATTTTAAAAATGATGAAGCTCAAATTTAGATAAACCATATAATTTCGGTCAAGAGCTAATACAAGAACTTTTTGATACACCCTTGTATATACATTATGTACATATAGGTAAATATTATTCATAATTTTTATTTGACTTTTTCAATTGCACAAAACTTGATTATACACACTACTCTATAATTACAAAAATTTTTGATAACAGTGAAGTCATTTTAAAACTGTTGCCTGGTATGCAACATAACGATTAAAAATTATTTTTAAATTTCAGAGACAAAAGCAGTGGAATGTGATTGAAAAATGACACGTAATAATACGATTTTATCCATCTCAAACTCCTTCGTCTTTTACGGGCAATGTCTCTGGTGGTAGCAGATAGTTATCGAAACGGTTTACGGTCGGAACGGATGGTGATCGACCTGAAGCTGCTTGGAAGTTCACGAAGGATGTAGAAGTCGCGAAACTAATACTACTATCTCGGATACTTCGATTTCTGTAAAACTTTTCGCAATGCATTGATGAAGGGCAGTTGAGAGAATGGTGCTGCCCTCTATTGATTGCTCTACGAATTTTCCATCTCTCCAATCGATGCCTGACGGAATTCTGAACCTGAAAAATAAATTCGCGGAAACGGAAAATAAATGCGTTTATGTCACATATAAATTTCATTAGGAATTACATAAGCTTAAAATTACATAAATTAAAAAAAGACATAAATAAGAAACAGAATTGTTTAAGTCAAAATTATATAAATTTGAGGGTACTCGCAGCAGTTCTTATAAAAGATTTTCGGGGGTAAATGCCCTAATAAATATAAAATATTATGAATGTAACGAAAAGGTAAACAAATAGAAGATATCATTTGCTTTTATAGAAATAAATCATATTTCTGGAAAGTTGAAAATAACATATATTAAATTAGACAAACTCAAGAAAGAATTATTTAGTCAAAATTGTATAAATTTGAGAATACTAGTAGCCGATTTTATACGAAACTTTCGGGGAGGGAAAACCCTTAATAAATATATAATATTATCAATATAACACAAAGGTACATAAATAAGAGATATTATGGGCTTTTATAGAAGTAAATCATATTTCTGAAATCTCGTAACATAAAAAAGTTCAGAACTATTCGCTTGAAAACAAGTTAAAAATTTGTTTGCAGCGCTGATTTAAGAATATTTAATGATCAGCAATAGCACGTCATACAAAGTAACTATCTGCAAATATAATTAATTCTGATATTTAGATTAAGTTATCGCATCAATAGTTTAAAATTAAATTCTTTTAATTTTCTTAAAACACATCACAAGTTCTTAGTATGTTACTTAATCTGTCAAATTGTTAGCATATATTCTAACTTATTTCTTGTTACATAAAAAGACAACGGCTAAGACTGATCACTGCCTATGCTCATATGATCAAAGCCTTAGGAGGCTAGGAATCAGTCCACGGCATCTTAGAATCCTGCTTTTCCCCATACAAACACGAAACGTGGGAGTTGGGATGCTTAGGGACACAGACTGCCTCAAAAGTGCTCTGATTATAGGTTATCCCTTGTAAGGATCTTAAGTTTTACTAACGTTTATTTTATTTTAAATCTTCACTATCACTTCTTATTTTCTACTTCCGGCCAGAATTATAAGCGTTAATGTATTTATGCAAAGTTTGTCTGGCGAACGCAAAGTACTTAAGTTGTGGCTTTTTGCCAAGCGAGAGAGAGGAAGCAGTGAGTCGAAGCAGGACCGCTTACCTTAGAAGTTTTACTCAGTTGCTGGTTGCCTTCCAGGCCAGAGGTTTTAATTCTCTTGATAATTTTTTTAAACGTATTGTAGTGTTCACAGTTCTCTGTACTACATACGGCTTCCTGTTAATATAAGGCCAATCTTCCACGTTTATTATTTTAAAGTTAAATTAGAGTTTAGTTTTATTTTCATATTTTTACGTTTAGACCCCAAGTAGTGGGTCTGTGTATTCCGAAGTACGGAAGTTATTGTAAATAGAGAAAAATAAAGGGTTTTGTATACCCTTCTTGTGTATCCTGTCTACTTCCCACAGTTAGTGAACATAGCTTTAGTAAGCTCTCTGTTCCGAGTCAGGTCCTTGCATGTTTCCGAAGAAAGTAAGACGGAACATTGAACTTGATACCCTTTCTAAGTGAGAGGAAATAGATTTGCATGCAAATCTCAATTGCCAAAGACAATCATTCATTTCTTACGATGAGGTTATATACCGATAACGGTATTATACTTGAATAATTCAAAGGTATTTTTATTAATTAAAAGATATTTTACTTTAAATCAGAAAGTAAAACATTTGAAATTAAAAATTTAATTTATTAAAATCAGGTTTCAAAATAATTTAATATTGCCTAGGTTTCTGAGTTTAGGACTGAGTTAGAAAAAAAAATGAAAATATATTATTAAAATGACATTCTGTTGGAAATATGAAGGACAGAACACAACCGTAACACTTACGTGATTACTAGTAATACATTTTCATTAGATTCACAAACATAACGATATTCAACAAAAGTTCTTACCTCGCCATTAAGAAAGCAATACAACACTGCCACTATGAAACCCTTGGGAAAAAATCGGATTAGATATAAAAAGATATTAAATTTACTGCAGAATGAAAATAAACAAAAATGACACACACAATTAAATCTAATGCAATATTAGATACTCTTCTGTTATCGGGACCGGATTCAGAAATGTATGTATGGGTGTATTGTTCATGTAAAAATGCATGTATGTATGTACATACATATGTATATACACACATACATATTTACACATGTGCATAAATACACACATATATCAATCCAGTCCCGGTAACAGAACAGTACCCAATTTTAAAATAAAAGATTTTTGTTAACACTTTTGTCAACAAGCAATTTGATTTCTTGCTTTAAAATATTGGTAAAGTAAAAGTTTGATTATTAAAATTTTTCAAATCTCATCTTATAATCAGTTATTAAAAATTTTGTAAATGCGAACTTCCAGATTAATTTTTTGTGTCTAGGCAGAACTTTATATTTTTACAGGTGTGAACATCTTCTAGCGTGCACCTTTTGAATTTGCACGTATTAAAAAAATATTACACTGTAAAGGTCACAATTCTCGCATATATTGACACACTCATGCATATTTAGGTTAAGTAAACGTGACAAAGAATGAGGGCTGTATCTACGGAAAGGATGCCTTCACAAAAGACGAAAAGAAATTGACTCACGCATACATTGTACAGATGGGAAAAACCACGAAAACTCTCATGCAACCAGCTCATTCGCTAGGAATCAAATCCAAGTTTAACTGCTGATTACATAGTTGTTTTTCCCACTCGGCACTGTTGGGTACATAGGAAATTGAAACAGGTAGTCATATTGAAAATATTTAATTAAAAATAAATTCATATCTAACGTGGATTTAGATATGTACTCGTAGAGTGTTGAAATATGAAACTACATTCGAAGTATTTAAAATTTACTAAAAGAATCAGCGGTAAAAATAGTTATTTCTTGTACGAATTCTACACATAAAAGTATGCAAGAATACTTTTATCATCGTGAGGGGCGTTTAGATAGTGCAAATAAAACTATAATTTTTTGTGCGATTAGACATAGGTTAGGTGGAGTTAAGTTAAATGGTAAGGCAAAACACACGAGTGCTATCTGGCTAGGAGGCGGAAGGAAAAATTTATCCAAAATTCACACATAGACAAAATCCATTCATATAGTCCATAATAAGCGCAAAATTAATCTTTTCTGATTTTGCAAGAAATATATGTTAATTTCATGCATTAGAACATTTTTTTTAACAAGAAATCTGTTACTGACTACGTTATTTGTTTACGTACCATTGAAATGTTCATTGAGAAGGAAATATTTTGTAAAAAGTTAAAATTAAAAAATCGCTTTTTACATCCTTGTACGAAGTAAAGGAAGTATTGTAATCATGAAAGATTCCGGGTACCATATTTCAATGAAAATATCCATTTTAACCGCTATCGAATGCAATTTAATGATGCTTTTGCGTGACTTCTGTACGTAAGGACAGAATAAAGGATTCTACGAATTATAAAACTGATTTAAAATGGATTCAGAAGAGATTTTTTTGGGGGCGTCTGTACGTACGTGCATGCGTGCGTGCGTGCGTACGTATGTATGTACACTGCGGAAAAATAAAGGGGGGAGACAGTTCTATATCTCTCGTTCTACTGGGTGATTGATGAAATTCAACTCGCGTTTTTCATGCCTCGGAAGCGCGACTTAGCATATATATGACATTTATATATATATTAGTCATTCTAACATAGGTATTTGACACAAAATCGGACTTTTTTCTGATATGACATGCCAATTTTTTTTCCATATTTCGATTCTACGACTCGAATTATGCCAAACTGCTAAGTTTTGTAAAAATCGCAAGAGTAGTTTTTAAAAAATTAGCTCTCAAAACTTGAGCTCGTCAATGTTAAATGAATTTGATATATATTTATTAATCTCTGCATTTTTTATTAACTTACTTGATTCCTTCTTCTAAAATTCAAAATTTAGGCTTGGGCCAAATATAGTTTGCACATTTTTTATGATTTATTTTTTAAAATTTGTATTTTTAAATATTTTTAATAAATTTTTCGAAAAACGTTTTGTATAGTAACCTATAAAATTTTTAACATCTTCTTAAAGTAGATGTATTTCTAGGCCCACCTGCAAAAAATTAGAGTTTTTTATTCAACATTTTAAGATATACATGAATTTACATACTGCAACATTTTGAAATTTCGCATCTTGTATTTAAGCCAAACACAATAAAGCCAAATGTGGTATACGCACTTTGTTAAAATCATTTGAAAGTATGAACGATGCCTTTTTTTACACTTGTCTGCAATGAAAAAAAGAAAAGGAAAATAGGTTGCTAATCAATGCCAAGTAAATAAGCATCCCCCGGCCAGCTCTCACCTGAAACTAAAACTACAGATCACAACTAAAGACTTATGGCAACAATAGTGGGCAAATACAGGCAGAAGAGTTTATAACGTCTTCCCCAAAGTTGACTCCCCCCACGCATCTCTCCAGACATATCACGTGGTTTATCACGGTGTACGGCCCCTTTGCCACGTAGAAATCTCTCTCTCCATCAGACTCCTATGCATGTGGTGATAAGGGTCACCCCGATCATTATCTATTTTACTGTCCGTTTACAGATTAACTTCATCTAAAAAAGCCAAATTCAGAAGAGGATTTATTCCCATTTCTGACATATGCAGTCAAGAATAAGCACTTGAAGAGTAAAATTACGAACGTTATTGACTTTTTGGCTGCTAGAAGTCAAGATCTATGTAGTGTAATTTAATCTTCAAAGAAATGCTCCAGCAACAGCGAAATAAAGCAATTAAATGCAGATATAATGTTCGCGGGCGTACCTTTGCAGGAAAGAAATAAGCATCGCAAACCATAGATCACTCAACAAGTAACATATATATATACAACAATAGATCACTCAACAAGTAAGGTAAGGGGCTCCTTACCTTACTTGTTGACTTCGGGTAAATAATAGATGACCTTCTACATTTCTATGTAACATAAGGTCACATTATCTGAAAAGTGAACACATGTAATAAATTGCCAGCATTGAGTTGGTAAAGTATCAACAATTTAATGCATTATGAAATGTAATTCTTGTAAAAATACAGGAAATTGCATACAATGAACTGACAAAAATAAGTTGGCAATGTATCAACATATGTACGCAGATATATCTAAAAGTACATATTACGCATAAGTATGCAGATGAAGCTATTTTTTCTTTTGCTTTCAAACTTATTCATTTATTTATGTCTTTTTTATTATTTTATATTCTTTTCTAATTTTGACTGCCGATTGTAAATAATGATGCAAACAAGTCATGATTGCAGTTGCTTCTAGCCACTACAATTTATAATATTATGATCAATCTTTACATGCAAATAACAATATACTGCTAAATAATCTTTTCTATATATAAGCGGCTTCTTAAGTGTTTGTCGCGGGTAGTTTATTGTTGCCACTCGGAAAAATTAGCGCGGAAAATAACGTCTCTGCAGTTTTTAATTAATATCTCGACCGATTAAAGTCGTACGAAGATGAGAACGGTATCGATGGATTCGGAGAAATGTTTGGAATCCGAGGATACACGTCTCGAATTTTAACTCGGCGCCGTTCCGTAGATATTCGAGAAAAAAGAATTTGGCACGTAGCCAAATCCCTCTGATAGGGAAAACCCAAGAAAGAAAGTGTAAAATGTAGGAAAAACGTAGGGGGAAATTAGTTTTTGATCAATATCTCGGCTAATTTAAGTCCCCCGAAGATGCGAACGATCAAAATGGCGTGCCACGGACCTGCGGAATCCAACGGCATGCTTCGCTAAGCCCGGGAACCAGCCGTTTCGGAGGAGATGATGTTACTTCACCCCATACATACAAGGTGTTTCATAAATTATGGGACAAAATTGGAGGGGTGGTGGAGCGAACTAAAACATGCATTTTTTTTATAGGAATGCAGGGTCTAAAGTGACTGGTTAAGGCAAGAACGCAAAAAAATGTCACGAGAGGAAAATGTGTTTATGTACAAAATTAACGCAGTTTCTTTGTAGCAATACAGCATTCACAATAAATGTTCAAAAAAGTGAACACTAACAGTAATAGGAACTACAGCTGTGATTGGCTGGCAATGCAGGGATAGAGGGCGGTACCCACTCTGTTGCTCGGATCAGTAGAGCTCACTTTTTTATTCTTATATGTTGCTATATATGTTATTGTTGATTTATTGCTCATCTTTTGCTTTATAAATGATTGAATTATGTTGTCCTTATCTTTCAGTTAAGGTTTTTATGTCTTTAGTTAATCTGCATGCAATATTTGTAGAATTATCAGCAATTTAAGAGTCGTTTAAGTGTGGCTAAGCCTAATTTTTGTGTACCATAGCAGCCATGTTTGTTTACATTTGAAACTTAGTAGAATAGTGAATTCCTTTTCTGCGCCTTCAGCGTCTTTTCGCCGACAGGGACCAAAATTAAACTTTCATTTTTGTGGACAGAAAAATCTGTCTTGTTACCTGCTGGCCGAAATGATGGTTTTTGCGTAGAAACTCTAATTTTAATTGTAAAACTGTTTTTTTTTATTGTTTAACTGTATTTGGTGTTTTATTTTTTCTATATTTTTCAATTTTTAATGAGGATATTTTGAGTTTTTATGTATTTTTGCCATGCCGCGAACTGAGAACAGAATTAATTGAATAAGAAATATATCTCTAATGAAATTCGAGGAAATAAGTTTAAATGAAATGCAGCAAAAATTCCGTATAATTTAATATTCCGTACCCGAAAGTCATGTGGTGTACACATCAGATTTTTTAAAATCTGTAACACAACTCATCCATGCAATCGATTGTAACAAATGCATTATACTGTTCTGCCATTTTTAGTTAAATTATTTTCGAATATGCTTCATTACTAGGGTAAAGAAGAATTTTAGCTTGATACCTAAACTTATAATTAGGAAATGGAATGCCAGGCTAAATATGAATTAACTTTAACAGATTTTGTATTTTTTACACTAAAAAAAATATGCTTATTTTAATAAAAATATTACAAAAGAAAATCCTTATTTTTTCCATTTTTTTTTTCATTTTTCAAAATTAACAGATTACTTATTTTAGTTATAATTTAAGTAATTTGAATAATTTACCTTTGATTAATTTAAAAATTTTGAAAAATTACCCCTTTAAGTTATAGACAAAACTGACAGCGTTTACATATTACGAAGTCCTATCTTTTTCGGGGAGAGACAATATAATATTTGTTTCTTTCAAAATATCTTTATATAGGTAATATTTTAGGATCTATTTTATTCTTTTTCGAAGTATTTCAAATACTGTATTTTAAATATTAACGATGAGCTATAAAATATAGATATTATCTTTTAATAATAAAATAATACCTTAAAGTAATTATATAATTTCCTTTAAAAATTATTTAGATTTATAGGTAACATTTTAGGACCTATTTTATTCTTTTTCAAAGTATTTCAAATACTGAATTTTAAAATATTAACGATGAGCTATAAAATATAGATATTATCCTTTAAATAAAAGTATAATACCCTAAGGAATTATATAATTTCCTTTAAAAATTGTAGTATCTCCCATAAGAAAAATGTTGTTGAGTTATTATTCCCTCAGGAAACATGATATTTATATAAAAAAACTACAGGAACTAAGTATACGGGAAAAGTGTGAACTTGTGTAGTTAAAAGCTACAGAATTTTATTTATAATGAAATATTTTAGAAAGGTTTCTGTTATTTATATTTTTTCCTTCTTTGAACAACGTAGAAATGTGTCTCTATATAAATTTTCTGTTAACCTTTATCTCTCATAATATACATTTCTTGCAGTAAATTCACATCCATCCTCTTGTTAGTCTCAGTTCTATTTACTCAGAAAGCTTTCTTTACTTTTAGTTGACCAAAAGACAAATTCACATGCAATGAAATTAATTGAAGTAATTTTACAAAATTTTAGAGTATAACGGTGAGAGAAGAAGATACCTGAAATGCTTTTATTACTATTTAATCCAAATGGAAAAGTTAGTCATGGAGGGATCAAAAGTTTCTACAATTCTGGAATATCAAGCTTAATTATTTTGCATGATTTTACTATTTGGCTTTCTCTGTTTGTTCTTCGCATGAAATCTTAAATTTTGAATCCCATCTTAAAATGGAATATTTTGTACATATGTATTCACAATGATAATGCAGTATTGCATAGAAATGTATCTAAAATTCGATATAGATGTATTTTTATTTATTGACTCATTTTCATAAATCCTTGTTTAATGATTAAAAAATAATCGCAGAATTTTGATTTTCGGAGAGACGAAAACACAACTTTTAAAATTAATTTTTTTTGAATTACTAATACAGTTTTTCGAGCTTTTATCGGTTTTTCAAAAATTATTCTATTTTTAGCTAAGGTAAAATTACAAATAATGAGGATTTCAAATCAGAAGATGGCAATACTTTATTATTAGACATCGCAAAATTTTAAGTGATGATCAGATCAGGTTTCCAAATCAAACAGATATTTAAATAGAATCTTACGCCAGATTAAAAAGAAAAATTTTCCTACACTCAATTTTTATTTGAAATTCAGAGGCAATAGTTTTCTTTATAATTTTTTCGAAGGTTCTGATATAGACTAAAAAGTAAAAAATAAAATGAATAAAAACTTTTTAAACTACGTGGTTTTAACTAAATGCATTAAAAAAAGAAAAAAGAAAAACATTATTTTAACTATCACATTACTCTTGATCATCATCTGTGAGTAAAATTAGAATTACGAAGCTTCTATTTTTACATTCAGTTCGCTCTTTAACAATTTTAATTTAACATATTATTAGTTAGCTCCACAGATTCATGTTTAGTCACAATCAAGACTATTATGACGGCTAATAATATTTTTTTCTTTTAGTGCATTTGATTCAAATCACGTAATTTGAAAAGTTTTCTTGCATTTTATTACTTAATGTTAAGAACTGCGGAATAAAGCTTAATTTGTAACAGCTAGACTGATAAAGCAAAAATATTGGAATTTCTATATTAACTTATATATAACTTATATATAATTTCTATATAACTTAGCACAAGGAAAGCGATTTTATGTCAAAAGTTTAAGATGATGTACTTTACTGTCCATCTTTGCACTTTTTTTTTTGCCTTTTATGCTTCTGATATAAAACTGCTGCTGTTGACGTTAGCAATGTCTATATCTAATATACCTATTTTTGGAGTCACGTAATGTTACGTTACCACAAAATAAATCCTTCATGCTTCCTTCCCAACGAAGAGCCAGTCTTCCTGAAGAAGATTTAGCTTTCAACTCATAAATTATTCATTATCAATGAAATTATGCATATTGTAAGTATTAGTGTAACAAACTGAGCGGTCTAATGTATTATACGTATTTCTCATTAACATTCTGTTTTTATTTTACTTTCCAATGATTTATCGCATTGATAATTTTTATAAACAATTACGTTATTACCATAATTAATAAAAACATTTCTAACATATATTAGGCATTTGAGTGCAGAATCGGAATTTGTGCTTCACATATAAGGAGTTAGCTACTTTTATTGGTTGTGTTTAACTTATTTCGATATAATATTAAGGATATTAAGTTTCACCATTCACATGTCTTCTAAACATCTAAACTATGCGAAGTGCCTTCTATGATTAATTGCCACATGTCAAACTGACAAGAGCGAAAGTTTAATCTATCACTACGTGACAGCCATTCTCTAGCAATGCCCTTCTCTGAGCTTAAAGTGTCTGTGTACATACGCACCTGAATTGACAGAAGCGTGGCTTGAATGAAAGTAAACACAACTTCACCAGTCCTGTGGCTGGGCGTAGCTATGACCAATATGTACGTTACACCCAGAAGCGGGATAAGAACTAACAAAGCTTTGGCTGCTTTTCTGTAAAATAAAATAGAGGCTATTAAATACATTTTTATAAATAAAGATGGATAGAACAGTTTAATTTCTTTCTATATAAGATTTCGGATTTTTTATGTTTATACAAAGTATTCAAATTAAAAAAAAATAGACTTGAATTATATAATTTTGATTAAATTTTCCAATTTTAACTCAGTTATGCAGCTTATTGTTAATTACTAAAATGTAATTATTCAAACGAAAATTATAAATTAAAACTTGGTAAACACCTACATTAAAAATTAAAAATAAAAGTGAAAAATAATATTTTAAACACACTCAACACACATCACACACACACACACACATGCAAACCGTCACATACACATACACACCGGTGTCCAAAATTATACTTACAAATTTAGATGCCTGATATCCCGAAAAGTTATTGGCTTATTGCAAGAAAAAGTTTTTCACTGATGAGCAATACTATGAGATTGGCAATCATAACATAATAAAATAAATAGGATGTAAATATTTCGCGATATGCAAATGCAACTAAATGAAATAAAATTAAAAAAAAGGACATTTAATATTCTCAGAATGGTCTGATTAATAAAGACTGGCTCTAACCCTCGTTTCTTTATATTCCTCACAAAGCAGTTTCATACTATAAATGAGGATTTTAATCACAGCTTATATCAACAAACATTATTTTTCGGAAATCTAAAATTTTAATGCCTAGAGTATTCTGAGAGGGTGTTGATGTCATGCAATGACTCTTCCTAGATCATCTTAAACTTTCTGTACAGGACTTATAGCCAGACAAAATGGCGATACAATTTTATTCCAGAAAATCATCGACCGTTTGAGTTCTGAGTAATCTCACATGATTATTCATAAAAATAATTTCCTCTCTAACAGCTCCTTGTGAAAGCCTCACGTAAGGTTCATGAATGTGGTGACATTTGCTGTGTAGTCATAGTTCAGCACTGTCTCACTGAAAGTAGTTAAAGCCATCAAAATAAAAATTGTACATGAAATGGATGTAACTGATCAAAAAGGATGCAAATACAAATAGTTTACTGTTCAGAGATATTTATAGATAAACCAGGGCTCTTAGTGAAAGCCCCTAACTAAATTGCATGCCATTATGTATTAACCACCAGTGAGTACAGCCACCTACTGATATGTGGAAGGCTTTATACTATTTTCTGTGTATATGGATCTTTCAGTTTGTCTGGAATAGATGGAAATGTCTTGAGGTCATTGGCCAAGCAATCTTCTTTGCCACAATGTGCAGGGACCCACAGAAATCGCAATCACTTCGTCCCTTCTTCCAGTCCTGGGAAAACAAACACACTAACATACAACTAGTGTGGGTAAAAGGACTCGAAATGAAACGGCTGAAGACATGATGGCCCGTGACGTTGACGCAAGGCGGTGCCACACCTCAGCACTCTCGCCTCACTTTAAATGTATTCTCCACAGTAACGCATTAAGCTTCTGGTAGCAAGTATGGAATAACAGCAACAAGAACATCCCCCTCACTTCATCATTCCAAATATCTCTTCTGATCACCACATCTCCATTCCACAACTCACACGTTTTATCATCGGCCATAGCCCTTTTTCAGCCTACTTCAAAAAGCATGGCATCACCAAGAGTGATGTCTATCTTTTCGGCCAAGAAGGAAAACCTGACCATTTTATGTACACTTATCCTATTACCATCTCTTTGCATCTACAAACCCGACCAAACAACCTAACAACACGGAGCATACAAACGTATCTCAGTTACAAATCGACAACAGTCACCAAAACCTGCAAGATCCTGCATTCAATATTAGCCCTACGACAGGAAATCTGTTAGGTTCACTGAGCAAAGTATCCCTCTGTACAAACTTGCGTATTTCATCTAGTATGATCTCATAAGGATGAGATCACGTGTATGTGTGACTCAGTGTAAGCACAACTGATGCAGTCTTGTTTAATGCATAAACTGTACTGAGACTATGAGAAAACTTTGGTCTTTTATACAATTGCTTAGTATTTGTATATGTATTTATGTGCAGTGTTTTACATGTACACTGTGCAGTGTTTTACATGTACACTGTGCAGTGTTTTACTGCGCGAAAAAAAGGAGGGGACAGTTCTATATCTCCTGTTCTACTGCGACGTTTGACAAAATTCAAATTGCGTTTTTCATGTCTCGAAAGCGCAACTTAGGATATATATAAGATTTATATATAGCATTTTTCTAACGTTTCTAAGAGAAACTGACTTGTATACACATTACACATGGAGAAAACCAGGAGAACGCCCATACAGTCAGCCCGTTCGCGGGATCCGAACCTCGAACCGAACTACCAGTGTTCAGCGCTTTTACATCGCTCGGCTGCTTGTGGGCCCGTTCTAACATAGGTATTTTGACACAAAATCGGACTTTTTCTCAAATAACATACCAATTCTTTTCCATATTTCGATTCTACTACTCAAATAATACCTAGATATTAAATTTTGTAAAATTTGGTGCGAAATTTACGGAGAAATTTCGCAGTTTGGCCAAGAATAATTCACTTGGCGAACTTCTTAATACATGGCAACCAATTTTCCTTTTCTTTCCATTATGCCGAAGCGGAAAAAAAGACACCTCTTTCCTACCTTTTTACATTGTGTATGAGCGGAAAAAAGTCTCATCGTTTCTACTTCCAAATAATTTTAGCGAAGTGTTTAAACCTCATCTGATGTTTTTATCGGGTACTTACGTATTAACGCAACCAGCCCAAAATTCGCATAAATTGCCAAATTTGGCGACCCTACTTACGGCAACCCTACGTGTTATACGTAGTTTTGTAAAAAGAGCATGTGGATATTCACAAAATTTTCCTGCATTTTGTGTGCATGAGAAAATAGCAGTGTACATGGATAAAGTCAAGAGTGTGCGCAATGCCACTTTTGTGCAATTCTGGGATTTTTTTTAAGTAAAAATAAGTCGACGTGCACATGGTTATGGCGAATACGGTTTTCAATGAGTGCTAAAAGCAATAGCCAAAAGATTTCCGCCGAAAAAATAACTCTGCAACTTATTCAAATTCGAAACCGGAAGGGTTTAATTGCTATTTTATATTTTAAAACAAAATAATATAAAAAACTGTATTAAAAATTATCTGTAATTAATAAATATACATTTTCTTTCTATTCATACTCTTTTACTCAAACTTACAAATAGCGCCAACCTGGTTGCGATAATACGTAAGTACCTTTTATCGTTTTCAACATATATACCAAATTTCAAAATGTGCCAATATATAAATTCACGTATATCTTCAGAAATTTTGAATAAACAATTGTAATTTTTTGTAGATATGCTTAGAAATACATCTACTTTAAGATGATCGTAAAAATTTTATAGCTTATATTTCAAATTTTTTTTTGAAAAATTTATAAAAATTATCAAAATTACAAATTAAAAAAATAAATCAGAAAAAATGGGTGAATTTTATTTGGAAGCTGAATTTCGAAATGTGAAAAGAACAATTAAATAGCTTAATAAAAAAAGCTTAATAATATATACCAACCTCAATTACATTGAGGAGCTTTTGAAACTAATTTTTTAAAACTACTCTTGCGATTTTTACAAAACTTGGTAGTTTGGCGTAATTTGAGTCGTAGAATCGAAACATGGAAAAAAATTGGCATGTCATTTCAGAAAAAGTCCGATTTTGTGTCAAATATCTATGCTAGAATGACTGATATATATATATATATATATATACATACATCATAATACATAACCTAAGTCGCTCTTTCGAGACATGAAGAACGCAAGTTGAATTTCTTCAATCGGCCCAGTAGAACGGGAGATATTGAACTGTGTCCCTTTTTTTATTTGTGTTTTTTTATTTTTGTTTTATGTTCTTATATATGCTTTATATTGTTACAGTTTTTGTACTAATTTATTTAGTTGCTATTTATAATAGAATAGTTATTAAATTGTTTATTTCCCCGTGCAATGCTGCACGTGACTTATTTGAAGAAAAAGCTACGCCGGAAAAATTAAAAATACAGGGCCTTTAATAAATAGATATCTCGTATTGTACTCTTAATATCCAGAAAAATCAAGAAGCTTCTCGTGCTTTTTAAAAAGATAAAAGCGAATCAAAACCTCTCAGCTCAGAGTTTTTAGAAACTGCTGTTGTTTACTGTAGCAAATTCGCGGCTAAATCGGATTAGCTTTCTTTGTTTTGATTAAGTTCTGTTGAATGTTGAGTAGTTTAAAAGATAATTACTATGATTGCAATTTGTACGAATATCTGAGAAATTCAAGCATTTTGTTTTATTTGTTGCGATAATAAAATCTTTTCACTTTTCTCGGACTTCATTACTACGAACCTGTACGTACGCAAATATGTTTGTTTGAAATTAATCTTTTTTGATTTTAATAACTTCGGACGATGGTAATACTTTGCCAGAGAAACCTTTTAATTAACAACGAACTTATTTATTTAGCATTCTAAATAACAAAAAAAAAAAAAAAACATTCCATGCGTTATCACGCTCAAAGTAATATATAAAAAACATCACTGTTGACACAAAAATCTACATTATAATGAACATATTAAGTTATTGTGTATTAACTGAGTTCGTGCACGTTCCTGAACAGTATTTATATTTATATTTGTGTTTACATTTTATGTTCTATGTTTCATGTTCTGGACTTGCAACAAGTTTCTTGCAGCCTCTGTCTCCAAAACAGTAGCCATTGAATCGACATCTAGCTTTTGTAAAGCAATGTAACCTATTTAAATTCTTGAATAATCTCTGGATAGTGGAGGACAAAGAGCATACAACTGTTTACCTCTTCTAGACGCTTGGGCCCCCGTCCTCTGTCACCTGTAAAGTGATTGAAATTCCGCCTGTTCAAGTGCCATATGGTGGTGTTTTCGATCATATTAAAATGCCTTCATCAGGAATATTCCAGTTGTGCATCCTGCATTGCGTCAAAGTTGACATATTGATGTTTGTTGAAGCCCCAGCACAGAATTCTTATGCGGTTTGAGGGAATATTATTGTGTGATGTAATTACGGGATACTGGCTTATTACTTGATGTGATTCTTCCAGGCAATGCTATTCACATTCATCCATGTTTTTTGCTGTCCCAGTTGCTGTTGTAAGCTTGAAAGTTTTCCGGAATTATTATAGTCACTGCAGATCCTTTTTAATAGTCGTATGTTAAAATCTAAACGTTACTTTGAGTTCTAAAATACCGTAACCCAACTTTCGGGCCCCAGCTGCTAAAGGTATTGAAATTAGCTTAAATCATGAAAACTTGTCATTTTAACGTCAGAAACAGCTCTGTATTACATGGTCGATATTATATTTTTCAATATTATAACTTTCATATCTTAATACAAATTGGATTTTCTATACTGTTGCTTCTGGTACTTTTCAGAGTTACTAAGACAGCCCTTTGAAAGTTTGAAAGTTTCAAACATGAAATAGCCTATAAAAATGTGAATAGGAAACAGAAAAATAAAACAAAATAAGTCCTCCGCACAAATGCGAAGCTTGAATTAAACGTAGCATATTTGTCGTTGTCTGTTAGCGGCTGGGGGAAATGATTTTAACTAAACAGAAAATCGTAATTAAAATAATGAATTAAAATGATTTTTGAACCATTGAGAAAAGAAACAGGCAACATGGGTGGTGAGCAGGAATCGGAAGGCTGGAGGAAAAAGTATAATTTCTTTCAACTAACAGAGAAACTTGAATTATTGTTCAAACCAGCATTTTCCAAACTTTCAAGACTTTTAACGGAATTTTACGAACAGAGTGGTGATATGGTCTTCTTACAATTTTCCGAATGTCAATGTACTAGAGGAAAGACTGGACAGAACAGTTTTTTAAGACTTGAAAAATATCCCTTCTCATTGAGTTACGCATTTGATAGGTCCAAAATCCTGGACTGAAATTCTTTTCTTTAGTATTTGGCGTGGAAATGAATCTTAAAACTTTATCATTACTTTGTTCTTTAGTCTGAAATTTAGCGAATTTCGGCCAGATTCTAAAGTTCGTGGAATGATTCTCACAGAGTCTTAGTTTTCCTTTGCACTCACTGATCAGATGGTCTTCTCATATTTTAAGCAGCGAGCTGATTAAAACATGCTATATGTCTATGACCAAAGCTGTAACAAAGGAATAAATCCTTTGGATTTTCCAGGATTTAAAACTTTTTATTTTCACTCGCAAAAAGTACAGAATTTATTTTTCATTTAAAAAATCTTATTTCCTTCAGTAGTTTTCGAAATTTCTAGAAAAAATACTAGAAGCTTCATTTAAATATCATTGTGCAGCGTAGTGAATTTCTTCAGTTTTAAACATTTGAATGAATATGTGAAATTTATCATTTGCGTAAGTTTAATGTTGATAAATTTCACATTATTCATTCAAATGTTCACTATCCTCTGTCTCCACCAGGACTTAGAAGAGAAGGGCTAGCTCATAGAGCTTTTCCTCCTGAAGCAGAAAGTGAGAAGTGATGACGTCCATGATGACACTGAGCGCGCCAATAGAATTCACAGCTTGGAAATTAGCGTTTTTTTGACCAGCGTTTAAATGAGCTGTGTGTAGATAGCTATAATTTGGAAGAGGCAATGTTACTGGTTTTATGCATTTTAGACTGAATCATTAAAATTAATAATGCGACTCAATTTAAAAAATAGATAAAATGTGCTACTCTTTTAAATAAAGTCGTGTTTTTTTATTTTTATTGCAGTTTTTTTTTCATGCACTTTATTCTAATCTTTCTTTATTTCGCTAATGAGAGAATTTTTATACTGCTTCTAGATAACTATATAGAACATTTAAATTTACTCAAAAACACTTTACATTGACATAGTTAAACAGATGAATATATGCAACCATTTTCTGCTAACCTGCGTGTTTTTTGCCTATGTAAATTTTACTTGTTTATTCTCTTCGATTCAATATAATAGCTATTTTTAAATATTTGTATTTATCTTAATATATTACAATTAAATAATGTATACGATTGTTACCTAATTTTGACGAAAATCGTTTATTCAGAGTACTAAAAACGTATTTAATTTTCAAAAGGTGAGTAAGGAAGCAGGCTTTTATTCATTATTTATTTGATGTTTTATACTATTAATTTTATCTAGAATGCAATCACACAAACTATCATAATTAGTTACAAAGGATACATAAAATACTTACAGTACTTAACAAAATTAGTTTGTTAAATACTGGTATATTGTTGGTATATTTTGACTAGCATATACCAAGATATATAGATTAACTCATAAAGTCCAGATCTTCTGATTTCTGGGGGGTAGAGTATACCTTTTGCGGTACTTTGAAATAATGCTTTCCTGGAGCGACTTTTGTCTCTCGCTCCCTTGTCATTAAATAATTGGTTTAGTTTGGGACACAATTTGATTTCATTCCAATCCTATTAAACCTCTTAATAATATAAAATAAAAACAGTTAATATTCTAAAACAAAACCTCTATCTAAACGCGGTTTTCAGTAATTGAGGCAAGCGGAAATGCGACATCTGATTAAAACAACTGCACATTTAAAAGAACACTTAGTCCAGTTTAGAGTCATAGCAGAGTTTTCATCTAATGCATTTCGTCGAAATGAGAAGAATTTTTTATACGAATACAAATTTCGCCTCTTTCTTCTTTAGAGTAAGAACATACTTTGAATTCTTGATACACTAAAATTAGAAAAACTAAAAATAAAATAAACACAATTTCTTATTTAATAATACTAGGTAAAATATATTCAATTTTTTTTATTTTTTTTTCTTTCCAAAATCAAGCTAGATGAAGAGCTCTATGACGATGCTACGTGAAAATTTCATAGTCACTGATTTTTTTCTTATTCAGTAATGCTTAATCTGCATTTTATAAAAATAGGCTTTAGACATTTCCAAATTCTCCGAATGTACTCCCCCCCCAATTTCGCTAGAGATTTAATTTCTGATACCAATTTCGTCTAAATGTAGTCCACCTTCTTTGTCGCTGAAACAAACTTCTAAAATTTTCTTTTCGCTTTTTTAATTTTATACAATTTTCTAAGGACATTTTTTGTTCTTCAAGTATCAATGCATTCTGTTTATACTTAACATCAGTGATCTACATTTCATTTGTGAGTTATTTCAAAATCATTAAAATTTTTTTATATTTTGTCATCCTCATCGATTTAGGTTTGTCATTATAATTACTTTCGGCCAGCTTCCATTCACAGTTCTTTGTGGCATCCAAACAAGAGAGTTTTCATATTCATAAACACTGCATAGAAAGTTCGCTGTAGATTTTTCCGTATTACCTAATAGAATCTTCTCTTGACATTGTGTATCCTTCTTCGTCAAAAGCAAACTCTCATTTTGGATCCTTGGTCCATGAAATAAAATATTCATCTTCATATTGTAAGTGCTCGGCACTTATGCAGCACGAAAAGCCATTTACGTAAACGACTTTTACAATACGAAATTAAAAAAAAACTGACTAAAATTACATATATTAAATTATTTTAATAATACATTATAGAAACAGATATATATTATTTTAAAATTAATTTTGGGATATTAACCTCTAGAAAATCGTCGCGCGCTCAATGAAACTGTTTTAAACGCGGGAAACAGGACAGGTGGCATCACAGTGACGTCAGATTATTGCCTCTTACATCCCCCCATTAGGCTCGCGTCGGCGAGGAGTCGAACAAAGAAATGAGCTAGCCCTTCTATTTATCCCTGGTCTCCACAGCCTTCGAATCACAACCTTGATCGCATCTTCCGATCTTTTTCGAAAGGTGTTAAACTGACATGCTTTTTCCGTAGAGAATTTCTAAATATAATAGATGGTGAGCATTTCTTTAGATTCAAGCACTTCATTTCTCATTAGCAGATTCTTTAACTCTCTTTAAGTAACAGTCGGGGCAGAAGACCGTAGGAAGTTTTCATGTCTGAAGCTTGGAAATAAGCCTGAATATATTTTTCATTAGGAGTAACATTGCCAGCCAGTTTGCAAATGAATTTCTTTGCGTAATTGTTCTAATTTCCATCTTTTATTTTTTATTGTTTCACAATTTCTCGGGATTTGTTTCAAGTACTTGGCTTTACTACGGTTGTTGTATTCGTGGTCTTTCGAATGCTATTACACAATTTCTTTCTGATTGTGGTATCTTACAGAAGTCTGTCACTTTATACATACACGGATACTTTATACATACAAGCAAAAGCAATGATGTGCATAAGTAACACTGCTACGTATTTCAAACAAGTTCCTCTATACACAGGCAGGCAAAAGCAATGATGTGCATAAACAGCATTGCTACGTATTTCAAACAAGTTCTTCTGTACAACTACTTTCCTCACTAAAATATATATTGCATACACAGGAGATATTTACATTTTAGTAGGTTTATTATTACCTTTAGCTGAACACAAATTAGTTCATACGAATCGGTTATACTAGCCTTGTAAAAAATTCATAACTACTGTCTGATTGCGGACTCGTACAACTTCACTGGTACCCTGCTAAACGTATTTGTACCAGGCTGACAGAGAACGCACATTGATGAGAATAAAGATATACTTTTCTTGTTGATTTAGTACAATGTATAATAAAAGCGATACTGTTAACTTTCATGTAATTGCTATAAAATTATTTTTGTTGTTAAGTAGCTGTAATGAATTAAAGAGGGAAGCAGAATATAACAATCTATGCTTATATTTGATAGCATTTGATTTGTTTTAAGTAATACACCTATTTTTCTCTTCATTAAATGGATCTGCTCAGACAAATGGAAAAAACGAATGCAGACATCTCATACAAACTGCTTTGCATGAAAATATTAGATTAAAAATGTTAAAAATATACTTTTGTATTTTGAATTAATTTTACATACCTGTATTGCTCAGATTCAACAGTATTTGTAGCTCTTAGCTTAGTAATAAGAACCCACATAATTTTTGTGAGGAATACGATGTTCACCTAAAAAATGCAAGTTAAAACTAAAGTTAATGATAAAGATGAAAAATACTGTTAGTAATTCCAATAACTGAAATAATTGTATATTTCATCAGCTAAAAGAATAGAGATGAGATGAGAAGATGAGGATTTAAAAAGCAGTTTCAGCGCTTCGGGTAAGTAACTTCCATGATGCTTTAATAAGTACAAAAGATTCCATACTTTTACATGCAAAATTCGAGGACAAATTAGCAATTAATATGTCTCACTTGTTTTGGTAACATATAGTAAGACAAGACTCCTAACTAAGACTGCCAGCGACTTATTGCTAAGTATAGAAAATGTAACAGAGAAAACTTTATCGAACATTAATCTGAAATGATTCAAGTAGTAAGCATTTTACATCCCAGAATGTACTTGTTTGTTTAATGAGTAGTAATTATATTTTCGTTATAAGGTAGTTTCTTCCGCGCTCTTAGCATGCCTTTGTGGTGTAGTCGTCATAAGTCCGTGGCTTGTATTCAAAAGGTCAGTGTTTCGAGTCCCGGCGAGGACATTACTCATTTTTTATCTCTCCTGCTTTCAAAAAATACCTAATGTCTCTACATCGCTCAAAGAAAAATAACGAGAAGATGAATTTGGAATTAAGTGTTTTAAGGAAATGGGATCATATTCTTAGCTTGACTGAGATATGGTATCATCGAATTGCTGGATCGATGTATTATCCATTTCATCAGTGATAACCAATCATTTTACACTTAATTTCAACCCTGATCTTCTTATCTCGCGATCAGCTGTGATCTTAAAGGTCAATGATTTGGAATTCTTCTTCTACTATTTTTATTATTAAAGCCTGCATTTGTGTCATTTGAGTTTGTCAAGTCTAAACCGGAGAGGAATTACTGTGTCACTAGGAAAGAGTTGCTCGCCATAGTTAAAGCCGTAGAGCATTTCCATCACGGCAGAACATTTCTCCTCCGCACGGACCATGCCTCATTGGCCTGGCTTTTAAATTTCAAGAATCCTGAGGGTGAAATAGCCAGGTGGATACAGAGACTCCAAGAATATGGCATCACTATCCGTCACCGTAAGGGATCATCACATGGGAACACCGACACCCTGCAGAGTCGTAGCTAGGGTTTTCAGCGCCCAGGGACAACTGAAGATTTCACGCACCCTACTGCTTGCCAAGGATGGAAAACATTTAATTTTAAAATGTCGTAACATCAGTTTGGCGCCCCTTGGATTCTGCGCCCGGGGACAGATTCCCCCCCTTGCCCCGCTCTAGCTACGCCCCTGACGCCCTGTCTAGAAGACCTTGTCCAGAATGCTGGCGATATTGTTCCAGGGTGGAAGCGAAATACGTGCTGCTGACTCCGGTCGCAAGACAAATTATAACATCAACATCGGCTGATAGAGACCTGGAGTGATGATGAAGCAGGAAGACCACTAGAAGACGCGACATTAAACCCATAATTCATTTAATGGAGTCTCAAACAGAAACCTACCTGGCAGGACATTTCTGTCTGTAGTCCTACAAACAAACAATACTGGGCACTTGGAATTCACTTCACATTCGAAACGGCGTCTTATACCGGAAATTCGAATCGGATGATGGGAAGGAGTTCGATGGCAAATGATATCCAGATCCCGCATTCCTGTGTCCTAAAGAACTACATAGCAGCCCTACAGGAGGCCATTGGAATAATGAAGACCTTGCAGAGAGTTCGTGAGCGCTTTTACTGGAATAATGCAAAGGATGACGTGCAAAAGTGTTTGTCGATCATGCGATTCCTGTGCAGGTCAGAAAAGACCGAGGAAACGCGGCGAGGAAGCTGCAACGTTACAACGTAGGTGCGCCGTTTGAACGTATCGCCTTGACATCTTGGACCTCTGCCACGAACTGCTGATGGCAACAAATACATGCTCGTGTCATTGATACTTCACCAATGGCCTGAAGCGTATCCTATTCCTGATCAAGAGGTGTACTAGCTGAGGTGATGATTACAGCACTGGATTTCCAGGTTCGAAGTGCCTCTAAATTACTTCCGATCAGGGAAGAATTTACTCGGTAGTAATAATCAAAGAACTATCAACTATCCGGCATGACAAAACCCAAATGACGCCATTACATCCCCAGTCGGACGGCTGGTGAGAGGTTCATCGAACCTTCCTTATAACCTCTCTAGTGTTCCAGAAACCACGACGGGACAAAATTCGTTTTTATGGTTACCGCATGCTGCCCGAGACTACGGTTCCCTCAAGAGCCTCGGTCGTGACCTTCGTTTGCCTTATGATCTCTTATTTGGTTGCCCTCGATGCGCCTTCATCGCCTGAGGCATGCATCCAAGATGTCCAGGCCCGGTTTGAAGTGATGCACGTTCCGCACGAAGCGAGTGAACTTGGCGACGGAGAAAGTGAAGACCAGATGCAACACGAGAGCTACTGGACATACATTCAACAAAGGAGACAAGGTTTGGTTGTGGAATCCGACTTGTCCGAAAGGACTCTGTCCGAAATTACAGTCACCTTGGGATGGTCCTTACGCAGTCCTAAACAAAACGAATGACGTCGTGGTTCGGATCCGTAAGTCATCGAGCTCTAAACCTAAAGTCGTTCATTACGACAGGTTAGGTCATTACTATGGCCATAGTATGTAATGTAAATAATTGTAAATAGTGCAAGACCATGGTCCTTTTTGTTTCTAAATGTGTATTTAGTATTTGATTTGTATTTGACAGCATTTGATTTGTTTTATTTATTGCATTTATTGTTCATGTTGTTTATTATTGTAATGTAATGCTTATTATTGCATTTATGCCACAGTTGTAAGGTTGGCTTCCTGTCCAGGGATTGAACTGCCAGGGACGTGCAGTCCTTGGGAAGGGGGCAGTGTTACGGATTTGGTATTTAAATAGCTTATGTTAGTTGAATGGTAAATTAAATGGTTTTATTTCCCGCGCAGTGCAGCGCGTGACGACTATTAAAAGAAAGCTAAGCCGGAAAATTGAAAATACAAGAGCGTGTGCATGTAACATTTAATAAATATCTCTTTTTGATTTCGAGAAAGTACTAGAAAATTCTCACGCACGATTTTAAAATCTTATAAAAGGAGGAAAACCTCTCAGTTCGTAGTAGTTACTTAGTTTGTTGTTGTTTAGAAAACTGCTCTTGTTGACTGTAGCGAATTCGCGGATTAGCTTTCTTTAGCTGTTTTGAATTAAGTTCTTTTGAACGTTTGAGTAGTTAGAAGATAACTACTGTGAGATATTGTAAAACTGAAAGAATATCTGAGAGAATTTAAGCATTTCGTGATAATAATAAATTTTTTGTTAATTTTTTATTGGACTTGTGCATTCATTTTGTAACGAACCTGTACGCACGCAACAATATTCATAAAATATTTAAATTGATAAAATTTTATGATGTGATGATTGGCATATAAGAGTTTTGAGCTGTTATTTTATCCGGTCAAAATTAATTTAAAACTTTCTTCACGTGAAATTTTGCCAACTCGTGAGAAATATTTTCTTCCTAGATAATGAGATATCTTCTACTTCTTTTGCTCTTGTAATTAGCATACAAGAAATAGTTGAAAACATAACTTTAAATATCAAATCTATTAATTTAGATATTTGTAATTGGCAAAATATACGAACTTAAAAGTTATAAATGTTTTAACAAGTGACTTCTGGGTAGCACAGTAAAGTCTGTTAAATGAATTAGACAAATCTCAAAATGATGTTACCTTCAATAACATACAGTTTAGATTAGTTAAAAAACTCATCAAAGCACTTCCATCATCACGAAGGAGCAGATTTTATGTAAGACAAATAATCCCAAAATTAATGATAACGATCTTTTTTTAAAAAGGAATAATTGTCGCATTGTAAGTTTAAATATTACAGATCAGAGCACAACTTGAGCTCAACATGCACACCACACATTTTTGTAATAAATCACAGAACATACGAAATCAATTTTTACAGTGCTTCATACAACTAAGCAGGACAAATTAAAGTAAGTACAATATATGCATATGGCTTTCGTTCAGGGTTTTGATATACATTCAGCCTATTAGTTCTCTAATTGTAAGATTATATATATATATAAGCTTCTGAAGTGTTCTAAAAATTGCAAAAGGATCTTTGGTTAAATGGATCTTTGTTTGATCGTGATTTCAGGAACTTCGTACCTTGACTGAAAAATTAAATTCCATCTAAATTACTTTTTCCGACCTAAATATGAAACAAGCTTCATTAACTACATGTGAATGCTGCTAATTTGAGAAAACGATTTCAAAATAATTGCTACGACGAGAAGTCAGAGTATTAAATTTACTGTAATTATTGTAATAATTATTATTACAAATTCTAAGAATTACTTAATCTCACGTAAAGTGTTTTATTCAAATTTTGACCTAAGGTACGCCTAGTTATTATTATCTGAAGAACTCGTCCCATTTCTCATGACAGACCATGCTATCCTGAAATTTACCAACACCATACTTCCCATACTCTATATAGGTAGGAAGATAGAAATATCCATATTTTACCAGAATTTGAAGCTATTGGTATGTTCGTATGTACTAACCATTATATAAATGCTGAGCATCACCATGCTCAGCATTTATATAATGGTTAGTAATATGCAGCATGCTCATTGCAGAAGGTAAGCTAATCTCTTGATTATTGGTATAAACGATTAGCTCAAAAATATTAAAGTATTCAGAAGCTATTATAAAAATTCTATAAACTAAAGGATTAACTGCAATTGTAATGAAAGGTGAAGAGCAAAAGAAAACATGAGATGCTTATTCGAAATCCTTCGCTTCTGGAGTGTGTTAACCCAGTTTCGATACTGCAATACGCACATTCAAAAAAACATCAATAGAAAATGAGAAATAAAGGAAGTTACTTTTAAAATAATTAAAACATTAAAATGAGTTGAGGAGCATATATTTCTTGAAAAATTTTATTGTGGCCTCTTCAGAAATCAAATCTGGCTCTTTAGAGTGGTGGAAT